CATCGCATGTTCTGAAAAGGATTCATCAAATATTGGTAGATCTCCTCTGCCACCACCTTGGTATCGAATATCTTCACGGTTTGATCGGTACTACTAGTTGCGAAGAAAGCACCAGAGTGATGGAAGTCCGCACTCCAGACAGTCTCCATGTGATCGGTTAGTGTTGTCGAACAAATTTCCTACATAGCGTTATCGCTACCCATAGAAGATACGCCCACTTACTTTAACCATATTCCAAACCTTAACAGTGCGGTCCCCACTGGTGGTGACGAAAACAGTTCCGTCCGGATGGAAGACCAGGTCCGACACGAAAGCCTGAACCAAGTCAGCGATCGATGCCAGGTGTTAGGGGCCTACGGCTGTTGTTGGAGAAATATATGTTTGCTTTGCTCAGCTGAGCTCAGGAGTTACCAACACATGGATTCGATCAGAAATCAACGAAAATTTCCTCAGAATTTTCATAGGGAGATCTACCTTATGCCCCTTGCCATTCATCTGTATTTCCCCATCAGGTATGGACCACAGCTTCCACGTGCCGTCATCAGAAGTTGTTGCCACTAAATGATCGAGCTACACCGAATGACCAAACCAGCCGACCCACGCATGGGAATTCTAGGGTGTATCCTCACTTTACAAACCCCTTCATCGTGAGCTTTGAACGTTCGTACTAATCGCAGTTTGTCAACCTGAAGGTCGGAGGTTCTATCCCCGGCAGAGGCACTTTTCTCACTTCAATAGGTGTTGGGTCTTCCCCCAACTTCTGATTGAACTCAGCAGCAGCCTGCCGAGACGCCGCCTGAAAACTGTCCATTCTAGTGTGGAAAAATATGCACATGGTCAACCACATATGTTGAAACATCTGAGAAATATTTTTTCTCATAAATCTTCATAATGAAATGAATACAATATTTTACAATTTCTCATATTTTTCCACGTCTACCCAGATTCCTCTGTGAACTCTTAAAATCAATGGGGGAACTCCTAAGCTCAGCTGAGAAAACCAAACATATATATTCCACCATGCAATGTGAGGAAATATGCACATGGTCAACTACATACGTTGGTAAAAAAATAATAAATCTGTGGAAATTTTCTTGTCGATTCTTCCTAGGTTCGTATGTAAACTCCTGTAAACAGTCGGAAAACTCCTAAGCTCAGCTGATGAAATCAAACATATATTCTTTAAACATAAGCCTCAAGTGTAGACCTCATTCGGCCATGGCGAGTCAATGGTCAACTTCTTCCCCGCGTTAGACTCAGACTGGACCTCTCCGGTGCTCGATGATATACCTACCATAATTTACACAATTCACGTTAGTCTCGCTAGTTCTAACAGCACCAGCCTGATCCAAGCCTCCGCTTGTTTCGGTCAATCCTGACGAGACTTGAACCATCTATAGAGGAACTCATCGAGTGATTACTCATAACACCAACAGACCCTCTCAATGCTAGTATATGTTTCAAAAAAAATATGAGAAAATTTTGGAAAATTATCTTAGTTTTTCCCACACTTCTACCCAAAAATCGCGCGAGCTCACTTCAATAAACTAAAAATATACTCCCATACTCCTGAGTGCATTTCAGACTCCACCAATCCTACGTATTTATCCCTTTCCATTTTCAATAGAAATTTTTCCTTCATAGCCACCTCGTATTTATGTCTGAGTTCCGTCAAAGTCGGCTCGTACTGCTCATAGTGCGACCGTAATCGCTTGAGATCCTCTGA